TCGTTCAGATTTTTAACCCCGGAGGGTTAGCCACCCAGGATAACCCAAGACAGTCAGTGCGTCATCGAGGACTGTCTAACTTATTTCCATTGGGGTCCTCAATCTTGTCCCCCAGGATGCGACCCACACTAGTCGACTAACACCCAGGTACCTATTTGCTGTTAGGTGAACAGGACAACAGGTGTAAGGAAACGTGCCGAAATGTTTCCACCAGCCGGGAATCGAACCCGGGCCTTCTGTGTGAAGCGAGAGCTTTAGCCACCAGGCCACCCTAAAGTCGGTACCTGACCAGCCGGGCTGTGGCTCGTACGTTGGATTGCGTGCAGCCAGCAGTAACAGCCTGGTTGATCAGGCCCTGTTCCACCATGAGGCCTGGTCACAGACCGGGCCGCGGGGGCGTTGACCCCCGGAACTCTCTCAAGGTAAACTCGGGTAAATTACTGGGAACAGTTGAAGTCCCTCGATTTGTACTCCCTGGAACGTAGGCGAGACAGATACATAATATTATACACTTGGAAAATCTTACAAGGACTAGTTTCAAATTTGCAAACGAAAATCACTCCCTATGAAAGCAAAAATCTCGGCAGGAGATGTAACATCCCCCCAATGAAAAGCAAAGACGCCACGAATACCTGAGATAACACAATAAGTGTCAGGGGCCCAAGACTTCAACTGTTTCCCAGCATACATAAGGGAGTATCACTAATAGACCCCTGGCTGTCTTAAGAAGGCACTAGATAGGCACCTAAATTTAGTCCCTGACCAGCGGTCACCACTACTTAGAAAAGACCCGGGCCGGGAGAATACCGGCGAATAACAATTTATTTATTTATTTATTTATAATTTGAGCACACATACAGAGGTACAAAAAAATACAGATAAGAGCAGCATGCCAAAGCCACTTATACTATGCATAGCATTACGGGCTGGCTTAAAATTAACTTAAGATTAACTAAGCAATGATGAAATCAGTGAAAAACATTAATGTAAACAGATTACTATAAAGCACAAGTGAGTATTACAAAGACAGGTCATATGGTTGCATGCATTGTTGTAAATTCAGTAGAATGGAGTATTCTGTTAGGTAGTGTATTTAAAAAATAATAAAGTTAGATTGGGTTTTAGGTTTAACATTTATGTGATATAATTGTGAGAAACATTTAAGATATACAATTTATAAGTTCAGTTATTCAGTATTTATTTGGTTTTGGGTAAGTATCTTTGAGAAGAGACTTGAATTTATAAAACAGGTAGTGTTTTCTTTTATATTACAGGTAATGAATTCCAGATTTTAGGGCCTTTTATGTGCATTGAGTTTTTGCATAGCGTGAGATGGACACGAGGAATATCAAAGAGTGATCTGTGCCTTGTGTTATGGTCATGTGTTCTGTTGAGGTTGGCAAGATGTTTGAGGGGAGGGTTAATATCAGAGTTGAGTGTTCTATGTATGTAATAGGTGCAGTAATAAGTATGGATGTTTTGTATGGTGAGTAGGTTGAGTGTATTGAATATTGGTGGAGTGTGCTGCCTGTAGTGAGAATTTGTTATCATTCTAACTGCAGCCTTTTGTTGGGCTGTGGTTCTTACGTTGGTTTATTTACGACCAGCAGTAACCGGTTAATCAGACCCTGATCAACCACGAGGCCACGGGGGCGTTGACCCCCGAAACCCCCTCCAGATTTATATATATATATATACGAAGACGGGTTGGTGATGGAGGGGCAGGAATAGGGACCCATAGCCTCGGAAAAGTAATTAAAAACACTTCAGCTACAAAATACTGAGATTTTTTCTTGAGAATGCCTAAATATACTACTTTTCATTCACGAGGGAGCACTAAACTCGTAGGGATTAAACAGTACCTGAGAGAATGGGAGGCATTGAGGTTCGATCCAAGGAAGGGGAACACAGGCCTAATTCCTCAAATCAGGAGCCTCTCGTGTCCCTAACAATACTACGTGTAAGATAAGAGATAAGATTTCGTTCGGATTTTTAACCCCGGAGGGTTAGTCACCCAGGATAACCCAAGAAAGTCAGTGCGTCATCGAGGACTGTCTAACTTATTTCCATTGGGGTCCTTAATCTTGTCCCCCAGGATGCGACCCACACCAGTCGACTAACACCCAGGTACCTATTTGCTGCTAGGTGAACAGGACAACAGGTGTAAGGAAACGTGTCGAAATGTTTCCACCCGCCGGGAATCGAACCCGGGCCCTCCGTGTGTGAAGCGGGAGCTTTAGCCACCGGGCCACCCAAACTATATTACCTGTATACTGCAGATAATAAATAATTTTATCATTATTATTATTATTATTATAGCTATGAGTGGAGACGACAAATTCATTCAAATATATTTTTTTGTATTATCAAAATTAGATATTCTGATCTACGTATATGACATTTTGCAAGGTTAGATCAAGAACTATGACTTTTGCATCTTCACAAATTCTGCAACATTGTTTTCCTTGTCATACTTGACCACTTGATGGTTTTCCTGTCATACTTCATTATAGAAGATGGTTTACTGTCATACTTCATTATAGAATATGGTTTACTGTCATACACCATTATAGAAAATGGTTTACTGTCATACATCATTATAGAAAATGTTTTAGTCATACTTCTTTACAGAAGATGGTTTACTGTTAAATGCCACCCATTAAAGGGTGCTCCTTGATGCTAGTAAGGGGCTCTTGATCCAAGGAAGTGGACCTGCCTTATTCCTTGGATCAAACCTGAATGTCTCCTTTTCCCCCTAGGCACTGTATGGCCCTTAAGGGTTTATTGTTCCCCATGAATGTGATAATGATGTTATACTCCAGCATATAGGATGGTTTCCCTGTCATACTCCAGCATATATGATGGTTTCCCCATCATACTCCAGCATATATGATGGTTTCCCCATCATACTCCAGCATATATGATGGTTCCCATCATACTCACATAATGATGGTTTCCCCATCATACTCCAGCATATATGATGGTTTCCCCATCATACTCCAGCATATATGATGGTTTCCCCATCATACTCCAGCATATATGATGGTTTCCCCTCATATCCAGCATATAGATGTTTTCCCTCCTCCAGCATATATGATGGTTTCCCCATCATACTCCAGCATATATGATGGTTTCCCCATCATACTCCAGCATATATGATGGTTTCCCCATCATACTCCAGCATATATGATGGTTTCCTCATCATACTCCAGCATATATGATGGTTTTCCCCATCATACCCAGCATATATGATGGTTTCCTCATCATACTCCAGCATATATGATGGTTTCCTCATCATACTCCAGCATATATGATGGTTTCCCTGTCATATTACACCATATATGATGGTTTCCATGTCATACTCTGGCATATAGGATGGTTTCCCTGTCATACTCCAGCATATAGGATGGTTTCCCTGTCATACTCCAGCATATAGGATGGTTTCTGTCATACTTCAGCATATAGGATGGTTTACCTGTCATACTCTGGCATATAGGATGGTTTTCCTGTCATACCCCACCATATAGGATGGTTTCCCTGTCATACTCCAGCATATAGGATGGTTTCTGTCATACTTCAGCATATAGGATGGTTTACCTGTCATACTCTGGCATATAGGATGGTTTTCCTGTCATACCCCACCATATAGGATGGTTTTCCTGTCATACTCCAGCATATAGGATAATTTTCCTATCATACTCCAGCATATAGGATGGTTTTCCTGTTATACTCCAGCATATAGGATGGTTTTTCCATCATACCCCAGCATATAGGATGGTTTTTCTGCCATACTCTGGCATATAGGATGGTTTTCCTGTCATTCTCCAGCATATAGGATGATTTTCTTGTCATACTCTAGCATATAGGATGGTTTCCTATCATAATCCACAGAATTTTTTCTGCCATACTCCAATCACTAGAAAATTTTTCCACAACATTCGATCAGAGTATAGCTGTCCCTCCATGCTCCATCATATGGTTGTCCTCTCATACTCTGTCACAAGATGGTTGTCCTTCCGTGCTTCCTCAAACAGGTTAATGCTCCTCTTATTCTCCATCACAAAATTATTTACCTCTAATGGTCCATCACAATTTCCTCACTCCATCCAGCTGAATGTTTTTTCCTACTTTATCACACACACAGCATTCTTTTCCTCTATATGGTCAATCACACAGGGTTTTTTTGGGAGGTAAACTTTTTGCGAGACAGTGAAAACCTGCACTGACAATTATGCTACATACTCAAACCATGTTACTTTATACTCGGGTATACAGGAGGGACCCACTCATACAGCAAGTTAAGTTCCTGGCTGCCACTGTAAAGTGAAAATCATTACATAAAGTGAAAAATGCACATAAAAGCCTAATAACATGCTTACACTATCATATATTAAGTGAGCAATAAAGCTAGGCCTACATTACTCACCTTAAAATATTTTCTTCCTTAGCTTATAATGAGTAGCGAATATATTTATTTTAGAAAGTCTGAATAATTGAAGAATGGGTATAATTGACATTATTATTATAATAAAAAAAGAAGTGCTAAACCTACAAGGGTCATACAGCGCAAAGGGTATAATTGACAACTGCCGCATTGGTGAAATGCTGTAAAGCGAAGCGCTATAAAGCGGGGTCTTCCTGTATGCAGGTTTAGTTCATCCTTGTCAGGCGACCCCCTGTGTTTGAATAATAAAAAAGTACCCCTGGACTAATGACCTCTATACAGATTGCTGGTCATTAAGCCCGACAAATAAAGCTTGGTGTGCAGTTGGGTTATGATATCAATGGACTTCTGAAATAACAGATATAATGACCAAATATTTTTTTTTTCATAAGGTGAATGTGCTTGAATAACAGCTGCACACCTTATTCACTACAATACTGTTACTTACCAACAACTTTATACACTACAGTACTCAGCTACTTACCAACAACTTTTCTTGTAGCTCATACTACAGCAAATGGAATAGTATGTAAAATAAGGATAATCAGTTTCAAAATCAAAGAAATATATAATTATATTTACAGCATAATCAAAATATTAATATTAACACATAATGTCACTGACAAATATCGCAACATACCAAGTGAATGAAACAGTTTCATGTTTGGAATATGTGCTTAACAATATTTTATTACATGTGAAACAACATTTTGTATACTGTTTGTTTTGTTTGGTTAAGTCCCAAACAAAATCTTTATGGCATAGTCAGTACAGTACATCAAAATATTAACATGATATATCTTTCCTTAGATTATTTTTACTGTATAATCATGGGAAAGCATGATTATATAGCAATACTGGTTTGTTCGAAGGAGAGGGTAATTCCAATTCTTTGGATTGAAAGTCCTTTGCCAGCATAAAGGCACTTTCCTCCTTGAAGGAACTCAGCTTTGCAATAAAAGCTAGCCACAGCATGAGTACACTAAAAGACAGCATAAGTGTCAGGGGCCCAAGATTGCCCCAACTGCCTCTAAGTATACATAAGGGGGATTACCAATAGACCCCTAGGTGTCTTCAAGAGGGAGTTAGACAGACACCTAAAGTCAGTACCTAACCAACCAGGCTGTGGTTTGTACGTTGGTTTACATGCGGCCAGCAATAACAGTTTGGTTGATCAGGCCCTGATCCTCTGTGAGGCCTGGTCATGGACTGAGCCACAGGAGTGTTGAACCCCAAGGAACACCCTCCAGGTATACTCCAAGTATCCTCTTCATTTAAGATCAAGAAAATGCAGGGCACTATGTCCATGGACTATACTTGGAAGACAGTAGTCACCAAGAACACTCCACAGAATCTTCCCCACAACTTAATGTGGCCAAGCTTCAAGGTGTTATTTCTTATAAACAAAGGCATAATTTCTAATACTTTTTTAGTTAAAATACAATTCAAGATATAGTTCCTGGTTGACATGTAGCAGTGTAAACTGTTTATTGTGATACAGTGAAAAGCTACTAATGAAACCTCATTTTAATGAAAAATTTAATTTTGTAACAGATGCACTGTGACACTTCAGTATGGTTGTAGCACTGAGGTTGCAGCATTTCTGGTTTGCCAAAGAATAAAATCACCACCATGATGGAAAATTGGCAAACTTTCTACAGATGGTTCCAATATCTGACAGCAAGCACAATATGACTGAGTACTGAGCATCACCAAACTCATTAATATTATTTCATAAACTTTTAGCTAATTTGACTTTTTTTAGAAATTAAATACAAAATGGGATAACTAGCCCCTTACTGGTCACCTTTAATGACATGCATGGCTTCCAAAGGAAGAATTTTATGGTTCGCTATAACCTTGGCAGAAGATGGAGGTTGAGTTAAAAATTACGTATTAGCAGATTCACTCCACTGCAGCCAGCCAGCCAGTGTGGATGTGGCATATTATGTTTTAATGGTCACTTGCAAACCTTCCTAGGTGACTGGAGTTCTCACTGCAGCTGGGATACTGATTCAAGTTAGCAGTCAAGATCAAGCAGAATGGTGTGACTAAGCCATAGAACTATGATGCAATATTACCAGCCATACTCAGGCTAACTACTGGAATGACAACAAAGATCTGTATGGAGAGTCCATATTTTTTTTAACATGCCAGCCATCTCCTACCAAGGAAGTGACCCAAAAATGAGGAAACACATTGGCAACATTCATTCAATTGCTGTCTTACCAGAAGTGCACTGATCAGGCTCTGATCCACCAGGAGGCCTGGTCACAGACTGGGCCATGGGGGCACTGACCCCCAGAACTCTCTCCAGGTAAACTCCAGGTAAACATTACAGTTCAGATGTCTCTCCAGACCACAACATCCTCACCATTCCTTTAGAGTACAAGAAATGTACTTCCCATCTCCAGCTAACTGGCTTCCCCTACATCCCTTCGTAAATGTTATCCTGCTCACACTCCAACTGCACATCAGGTTATAAAATGAACTTGTCTCCACTCAAGCCTCTAGAACTCAAACCTTCCTCTACCCCTTTAAGTATATGTGCATGTATATATGTACAGTATGTATGAGCTGTTACTCTTTTGTTATAAACAAGGTATTATTATACAATAATGTTTCAAGGTGTATAAGAATTACATGTACTGTATATTGTCATAATGATGTAAGTAATCTTGGTGAATTGTATTGCCATTTGGTAAATGTGTGCATGTAAGAGTTAAATGGGATTTACAAGTTATCTAATACTGGTGCTATTATTGTTATTATTGATATACCTGGACATGTAGAGAGAATGGAGCGAAACAGAATGACTTCAAGAGTGTATCAGTCTGTAGTGGAAGGAAGGCGGGGTAGGGGTCGGCCTAGGAAGGGTTGGAGGGAGGGGGTAAAGGAGGTTTTGTGTGCGAGGGGCTTGGACTTCCAGCAGGCATGCTTGAGCGTGTTTGATAGGAGTGAATGGAGACAAATGGTTTTTAATACTTGACGTGCTGTTGGAGTGTGAGCAAAGTAACATTTATGAAGGGATTCAGGGAAACCGGCAGGCCGGACTTGAGTCCTGGAGATGGGAAGTACAGTGCCTGCACTCTGAAGGAGGGGTGTTAATGTTGCAGTTTAAAAACTGTAGTGTAAAGCACCCTTCTGGCAAGACAGTGATGGAGTGAATGATGGTGAAAGTTTTTCTTTTTCGGGCCACCCTGCCTTGGTGGGAATCGGCCGGTGTGATAATAAAAAAAAAAAAACCTGGAGAGGGTTTCGGGGTCAACGCCTCCGCAGCCCAGTCAGTGACCAGGCTTCATGGTGGATCAGGGCCTGATCAACCAGGTTGTTACTGTTGGCCACACACAACTCGACATACGAACCACAGCCTGGCTGGTCAGGTACTGACTTTAGGTGCCTGTCCAGTGGCCTTCAATGTCTAGAGATAGTCAGTGAGTCTGAGATTTTATTTGCACTTTTTTTTTTTAATGGCCAAGGGTATTTTTTTGGGGTTGTAAATTTATAAGAACATAAGAACATAAGAAAGAAGGAGCACTGCAACAGGCCTACTGACCCATGCGGAGCAGGTCCATGTCCCCCCCGACGGATTAGACCAATGACCCCCCCCCCCAGATTAGCCCAATGACCCACCCAGTCTGATCATCTCCACTCAAGGATGGAGCACTGCACCAGACCCAGCAGCACAAGCTAGTCAGGTCCAACTCACACCCACCCACACCCACTCATGTGTTTATCTAACCTATTTTTAAAAGTACACAACGTTTTAGCCTGAATAACTGTACTTGGGAGTTTGTTCCACTCATCCACAACTCTATTACCAAACCAGTGCTTTTCTATATCCTTTCTGAATCTGAATTTTTCCAACTTGAAACCATTGTTGCGAGTCCTGTCTTGGCTGTATATATTTTAATCTAAGTTTTTTTAGCCTTAAAATTATCTGAATTTCTTTTGTTGAATGTTATATGTACAGTACCATATTTTACGGCAAACAAGACGCTCCAGTGTTAATTAAGAGTGCCCCAATTCTGATTGGCTAAATTTTGGAAAAAAAAAAAGATAAATGGTACTTTGGCCTCCAAGATGCTGGGTAAATTTTTGAGACTTGTTTTGGGAAAAAATAGTATCTTCAATGCTGTAAAATATGGTATTTATTCTGTTTTTACTGGCATGTAAAATGATGTTTTTTAAAGCTATAAAAAATTATTGTTTAAAAATCTCTGTAAATCTGAAGTCAGCTCTGAGTAACCCTCACAGGTTTAGCACTTTTCATGATTATTATTACTATTCCATTGCCTTACACCATTCATGGTAATGAGATAAGACAATCTGCATTGAAAAAATGTGAGTTAAGGAAAACAACAGGTTTATAATAACATTAATTATTAAATTCATGGGGTGGAGCTAAGCCCAAAGGGGTCATACAACAACTGGGAAATGGAAGGCATTCAGGCTCGATTTAAGGAAAAGGAGAACAGGAACAATTCCTTGGATCAGGAACCCCTCACCAGCATCAAGGATAATTCCCTCCAGGGAAGCTCCTTGATGCTGGTGAGGAATTGAACCTGTGCTCCAATTCCTTAAATTGAGCCTAAATTTATACCTTCTATTTCTCCAGGCACTTAATGACCCCTTCGGGTTTAGTGCATGAATGTAATAAATATCATAAATCTGTTATTTCTCACAACACGTTTTTCCAAGGCAGACTGTCGTATCTCATTAGCATGAATGGTGTTGGGCAATGGTGACATTTACTAATGCCATGCAGACACTAACATACAGAATTATAATGCAGATACTGCTGTATAGTCTAGCACCTGGAGACAGATATGGGTCTGAAACCAACATGTCTAATGATTCCTGGTCCAAGCCTAGCACTGAATGCACCGCACCAGTGCAGAATGATTAATGATGACTGTGCTAATCATGATAATGAAAAGTATGAAAGTGATGATGATAATGACAGTGTTAATCATGTTAATAATGATTTAGCTTTTGAACATAAATGCAGTCTGCTGATGGACAAAATGAACTTAAGAAAGAATTTATAATCCAAAAACCTTATTTAATTTTAAAGTTCTCAAAATATTCTCAGTACATATTTACATGAGAAAGCTACCAAGATACTATTTTGAAAATAGCAAAACATTTTCACGATACAAAGTTTATTGCTAAGGACTTTCAATGCCTTTAGAACAGTCTAGACCATGAGTAAATAAATATAATCATTTCGCTTTGAAAAAATTCCCAAAAGGAGCCTCATACTCAATTTAAAAAGTAGAGAATATATTTTTTTTATGGAGAATGCAATAGCCTATATAATGGCATAACATATAAGGAACTGTTTCATTTATACAAGAAAATTTTAATTATAAAAGTAATATAGACAATTACCAAAAGTGAAGGAAATAATATACAACCTCTATTCACTTAACGACTGAGTTCCGTTCCTAATATTGCGTCAGTAAATGAATTCATTGCTAGACAAGGGGCATACTATAATGGTAGTGGGTTTATGTCAACCATCTTTGATACTGCTTTAATGTCACCCTTGCACCATTTATAACTTTTTAATATATTTTTAAATTCTTATACAGTAGTGTACCATATACAGTGGACCCCCGGTTCGCGATGCTGTCGGTATCCGATAAATCCGGTAACCGATGCATTATATTGCAGAAAATTTGACTCGGTTCCCGTTACAAAACCCGGTATGCGATACGATTCGTACGAGACGTGTCCAGTGTTTATAAGCCAGCCAGTGTGCGCACATCTAAGGATACATTCGGTACATTCTATATTATCCATATTATCACTGTTTTTGGTACTTTTTTCTGCAAAATAAGTCACCATGGGCCTCAAGAAAGCTTCTAGTGCCAACCCATCGAGACCAAGGGTGCTAATGACTATTAAAATTAAGGAAATGTGTGCAAAGTGGCTTGAAGTGCAAACCTTTTTTGATGAAAATCACCCTAACACAGCTATTGCAAGCCATGCTGGTGATTATTACAATGACAATGTTGTGGCCCATTTTAGACATATCATAAAGGAACGGGAGGTACAGAGCTCTATGGACAGATTTGTTGTGTGACAGAGGTCCAGTGGCTCTCAAGCTGGTCCTAGTGGCATTACAAGAAGAAGGGAAGTAATCCCAGAAAAGGACTTGGTACCTCAAGCCCTAATGGAGGGGGATTCCCCTTCTAAACATTAAAAACTTCGACACTCTTCCCTCCTCCCATCCAATCAATCATCACCAGATCTTCATTAAAGGTAAGTGTCAATTATTCTTTTGTGTTTATTCTATTGTTATTGTAATTATTTTATTGCATTAAACTTAATATTTCATGTGGTAAAAGTTTTTTTTCATACTTTTGGGTGTCTTGCACAGATTAATTTGATTTCCATTATTTCTTATGGGGAAAATTGATTCGCTTTCCGATAATTTTGGTTTACGATGAGCTCTCAGGAACGGATTAATATCATGAACCGGGGGTCCACTGTAATGTAATAAACAGAATAGAGGAAATCAGCTCTAATATACATTATTTAGGTATGCATATTGGTTAGCGAGCCTGTCGCAAGTCCAAGTCATGGGTAAACAAGTATGTCGCTAAGTGAGGAGAGGCTGTATTTGATGTCTGCCCTATCAGGGGCTTTCTTGGCCAATATAAAAATGCCTACGACTTCATAAAACTTTATTTCAAAAATGCAAATTTTGTACTTTATGTACTACAGTACTGTACATACAATAGCTGTCATAAGTACTGTACATCTTTAGCAGACTATTTACCTGACAGATTCGAGAAGTGCAAGGATAATTGTTGTATGGAAGATGGTGACCCTTGCCATACTGCTAAAGACAAAAAACTGGCTACATTATTGTGAGTTTTCTATACTTTTATGACTGGCATGTACACTCACTGGACTTAAACATGTTAGGGAACATTTGAATCCATATTATGTGTAACCTTCCTGGCATGAACGTGTCCTCTAACCCCAAAATCTCGAGTGCCATGAAGCAGATGTGGGAGGATACTGCCTTTTCTACCCTCCATAAGTTAGCTTCATCAAGGCCTAGGAGACTTAAGGAGTGCATCAAGAGGAAAGATAAACCTATAAAATATTAGTTTAGGTGAGGAACATATACATATTGCAGTATTATATACTTTAAATAATAGATTATGTACAATCTTGTTTCTTTGTGATCTTTCTTACCACACTGGCCATCTTCCACCAAAATAAGGTGATCTGTTTATGAGTATGCATACTTATGATGCCTACTGTATATGTAGTACAATAAACATTTAAGACTTTTTAATAAATCATAAATCTGGTTATAATGACGTTTTGTTTCACACTCTTTAGCCAAATTAAGCAAAGATATAAACCAACTGCAAACTCCTTGCCAAGAATTTTGGAAGACAATTAAAAAAAATCACAACTTATAACAATCTTATTATGAAATAAGACAAACTATAATTCACCATTATTACTATTAAGTACATTTTCCTAACATGAAACTAAAAAAAAAATTTATAATCTCCCTCAGTTTACAAGTGACTATGATTGCACCCAAACAGATTGGATCTATAAATTTACCATATTTTCTATTCTTCTCTTGTTTTGCTTCCTTCCAGCTTTTCATTAATTTCATTTCTTAATTCATGCCACTTTTTCATAACTGGTTGGGTATTTGCCCAGATATATTTTGGTCCATAACAGGCATAGATAAGTCCAAAGAGAGCACCTCCGAGGTGAGCAGCATGGTCAAATATACGCCACCCGAGTGCCATTCCCACAGCATCTAAGCACATTACTGCTTTAAGAGCAGTTTCTGCAGAAAAGTTAAGACCAGGAATAAAGACTATTCCAAGTTGAGCATTTGGATGCTGAGTACAAAAGTAGCCAAGTATAGCCATAATGGCTCCAGAGGCACCTAAGGATGGTCCTGGACATCGCATAGCCACTTTAAATGCATGACTAGCTAGTGATGATATTACCCCACCACTCAGGTACATGGCAACAAATTGCTCTCGGCCTAATGATCCACAAACACCAGAACTGAAACTATGTAATACATACATATTCATAGCAAAATGGAAAAATGAAAAATGGCTAAAAGTTGAGAGAGACATTGGCCAACAAACAGCACGGGCTGCTGGGTTGGAGCAGAAATAACGCAACATAGTTCGTTGAAAAGAAGGTTTGTTCCAACATGCAAACACAACAGCGTTGAGGAAACATATAGGCCAGAACGTCTTCTGTCCTTCACTAAGCCCATTCCACCAAACATTTATTGCTTTACGAAATTCACCCTCTTTATTTTGCCAGCCTTCTAAATTATCCCACTGCTTATTTGCCCAGTTCGTCCACGAATTTTGTTTTAGCCGGGATCGTACTGTTTCATATTTCCATACTGCTGCAGCAGCAAAGGTAGTGCTACAAAAGCCACCAGCAAATAAAAAGCATTTTGCTAAACCACGGCCCATATTGTTCTCATTAGGAGCCTCAACAAAGCCTTTTGGTGCCAGATTCATTCCACCTTCTCTGTTTCTTCCACGTGGCTGCCGAAGCCCACGAGTAATGACAGTAACTGGAGATATATTTCCTTTCCCAGAGCATCTGAGGAGATGTTGGTGTAATGGTAACTGCATCTGCTGTCGCATGCAGATCCGTGAAAGCACTGTCATGGTAGCCTTGGCACTGAAAATGAAAGAGAAAGTTGATGAAATTACAGTATAATAATATTACAGGTATGCAGAGACAAGTGCCAGAAAACCTAATCAACTTTTGTTTGTACAGTACATATAAAATCATACCAACAAAATTAAACATACTACATAGCATGAATAGAGGGGGGGAAAAAAGGGTGATGGTGCCTTGAGGCATCTGTGGAGACAAAGAATTTTATTCATGCAGAAAAAGAGAGGAATGAACCAGAAAATAGTGATCCCAACGCTGTTACTGTATGTGGATGTGAAGTATGGCCTTCAAACAATGAAGTGAGAAGAGGCTGGAGACAGTAAAGTGTCATGTTTGAGGGCAATGTACAATGTGAATACTACAAGTACAATAAAGAATTCAGAGCATGGAGAGCAAAGACAGTGTGGAGTTACCAAAGGTATGATTCAGAGAGTGGAGGAGTTGTTGGGTGGTTTGAGCATTTAAGAGAAGCTGGAGCAAAACAATTTGATTATGAGGTAGTAGGAAGGGTGGTGGAAGGAAGGAGGGTTAGAAGTCATCCTAAGAAGGAATGGAGAGAGAGGATAAAGGAAGTTTTGAGTGTGAAGGGGGTTTTGAGTGCTTGTGTGAGCATGTTAGAGCGAAGAAAGTGGTTTTTATGACTGACAAGCTGCAGGAGCATGAGCAAGATAACATTTATGAAGGGATCCAGAGAAAAGGGTTAGTTGGACTCGAGTCATAAAGATGGAAAGTACAACTCTTGCACTCTAGAGGAGGAGGATGTTATGGTTTGCAGGGTCACCTGAACTGTGGTGTCAGCACACTTCTGACAAGACAGCAAATGAATCAATGATAGTTAATGTGCTCCCCTTTTTATGGATGATCCAACCTCAGTGGGATATAACAAGTGTATTAAAAAATTGGCGAGAAATACTTTCTGTTAAGTTATATTTAACTTCAGGCTGGCTAGCAATATGATTTATTTAACAATGATATTATCTATAGAGAAAGTTGAAACTATAGCAACTCCTATAGTTAATGATAGGTAATCACAAGTAATTAATCACTGTACCATAAATCAACATCTTCAGCAGTGATGTTAACAAGCTATATAATAGGCATAAATTTTAAAGTACATGTACTGTGCCATATTTGGAATAGACTAATCTTTTCTGGTGTTCTTATCTTGACAGTGTCTTTTTTTGTTGTGCAGGTCAAAGAGAGAAAATATAATAGCTTTACATTTCAAGGTTAAGCCTACAATGTTCTTCAGGCACTTTCAAAGTGTGCATGATACCTCTTAGGAAGCTAAAGTATGGAGGCCTTAAAAGCACATTTTCTCTCACAAGGGAGTCACATCTTAGAAAGCCACAAAGAGAAATGTCATCTATAGTAAAGACTATTATCCAACATGTTTTTTCTCAACAATGTTCAGCTTGTTAAGTAATAGGACACAAATGCAACTAATGCGACATTTTACTGTGGCAACGTTTCACTCTCCAGAAACTTTGTCAAGCCACTGACAAAGCTGGAGAGTAAAACGTTGCCACAATAAAATGTGACATTAGTTGTACTTGTGTTCTTTTACCTAACGTATTATCGGTAATACTACCAACATTATTACAATGTTCAGCCTGTATGAGCTATAAGCTCATTTGATCATTATGAGTGGGGACAAGTGGTTTGACATGCTACTGGAGTGTGAGCAAGGCAACATTTATGAAGAGATTCAGGAAAAATGGTTAGCAAGGACATGAAAATGTTGTACTAATCAACACCACTCAACAAATTTGAATTTTGTATGATACTCTATTGTATATATGTATTTTTCAATTATATTTTTGTACATAGTACAATTTGAACTTTATAAAGTATAAACAAGCCTAAATTTCTAATAATTTTTATATTACTGTTACTCTGTTTGTATGGCTCATGGTCCTATAATGTTAAAATAGTAATGTAAAGAAAATTACTGGAGGAATTTAGTTTTAGTCTTGCCATAACACTGTCTCTACAATATCAACCCAAAAAAGAGGAGATATGTCCAGTTCCTTGGATCAAGAACCCCTCAATGGCAACTGCCAGTGAAGGCAGTTGTAATGTTTTAAGTCTACTGTTTGCTTTAGACATGACCTAAATGCTGTAAGTCATTAAATTTAAAAATTTGCCAATTATATAAAAGCAATTAAACTTCTTTTGCAAATAAAAATTGTGCATATTATTAGTACTGCACTGTACTTTTACCTGACGAAATTAAACAGACTTTGAAGAGGTAGAAGATTTTGGCCCAGTAATACAGGCCAGTTGCTGACCTAATGTGTGAACTTCCTCCGTAACACACTTGACTGAAATTGACAATAGCTAGGTGAGAGCAAGTAAAGTTTTCTTAGGTATTACATCATCCAAAAGTTATAGCAGCATATATCCCCCCACCCTGCTCAAATGCTTTGGGGAACCAATTTACTTGAAGTGTACTAAAAGTCAAAATAAAGCATTATAATAATTATAAATTAAGAATCATCCATGAAAACACTTTACTTCTGCTTAAATATAACCAAAACAGACTTGACAGTTAAGTAACTTGATTGCTAGTTCACTCATCTCACATACTGAGGTCCAGGGGTTGATCCCTGGTATGGGTGGAAACATTAGAATGTGTTTCCTTAAGGCACCTGCTGTCCCTGTTCGCCTATCAGTAAAATAGGTACTTGGGTGTTAGTTGACTGGTGTGGGTCGCATCCTGGGACAAAACTGACCTAATTTGCCTGAAATGCTCTGCATAACCAGGGGCTTTCTATATAGTAGTATGTCACTGATGTCTGCTATGACTGTATACCTTGTACATGTACAGTGGACCCCCGCTTTACGATCAGCTCCCAATGCGACCAATTATGTAAGTGTATTTATGTAAGTGCATTTGTATGTGTATGTTTGGGGGTCTGAAATGGACTAATCTAATTCATAATATTCCTTATGGGAACCAATTCGTTCAGTACTGGCACCTGAACATACTTCTGGAATGAAATATATCATAAACCGGGGGCCCACTGTACTTCTAGAAATAAAGATTATTATTATTTTTATTATTAAACATTCAGATTTAAGGAAAAATGCAATTATTTTGCTCATGTCTCCTGAAATAAATATAATGTACAGGAAATATTATTATTGAGGTCTACAGACAGGGAAACATGGTGATGGAAATCTGTTGGGAAGAGGGGGCTAGGGGACTTGTCTGGAAGTAGCAGCATTATAAGATAAGACAAGAGTTTGTTTAGATTCTTAATCTGGAGGGTTAGCCACCCAGGATAACCCAATAAAGCCAGTGTGTCATTGGGGACTGTCTGTCTAATTTAAGAATATAAGGAAAAAGCACTGCAGTAGCCCTACTGGCCCATGCTAGGCATGTCCAACTCGCACCCACTCATGTACTTGTCTAACCTATTTTTAAAGCTATTCAAGAAAGGTTTTTGCTTCAACGACACTACTCGGGAATTTGTTCCACTCATCTGCGACTCTCACCAAACCAGCACTTTCCTATATACATACTTTCTAAATCTAAATTTTCCCAACTTAAACCCAATGTTGCGCATCCTGTCTTGGTTAGATATGATTAACGTGTTATTTACAACCCCTTATTGATTCTTGTTTTCCATTTATACACCTCAGTCACAGACCCCCAAATTATTCTCCTCTCTAGAGTGCTAATTCAGGGCCCTCAGTCTATCCTCATTGGAAAATTTCCTGATATATGGGATTAACTCTGTCCAAGTTCTCTATACATTTTCTAGCACATTAATGTCCACTCTATAATACAGTGACCAGAACTGTGCAGCATGCTGTAAATTGTGATCCTTTAATCTTGTTCCCCAGGATGCGACACACACCAGTTGATTAACACCCAGGTACCTACTTATTGCTAGGTGACCAGAGGCATCAGGTGTAAGGTAACATTCCCATCATTTGCACCCATCCTGGGGATCGAAACATTGTATTATTTTTATTTGAGGGGCTTCCTTTGGCAGCACCCCAGACCACAAAGGTTGTCTGTATGATAAGAATTACAATCATGGCTCAGTTAACGTAAGGACTTTATCTCCATATTAGTCAATAATATAAATTACAAGTGTAGCAAGTCAAAAGAAAAAGTCATTATGTTGGTGTACAATATGAACATTTATAATAAGTTTAAGGTGTCCCGTGGCCTGGTAGGCAACACTCTCGCCTCACACAGTGTCCGTGGTTCGATCCCCAGCATGGGCAGAAACACTGGGAGTGTTTCTTTACACCTGTTGTCCCGTTCACCTAGCAAGCAAAAAGGTATCTGGGTGTTAGTCGACTGGTGTGGGTCGCATCCTGGGGGACAAGATTTAAGGACCCTAATAGAAATAAGACACAGTCCCTCAATGACACTTATTTTCTTAGGTCATTTTGTGCGACTAACCCTCCAGGGTTAAAAATCCGAACAAAATCTTATTTCTCAATCTGAACTAAGAACCCGGGTGGAAATAAGTCACTCATATGGGTTATCCTAGGTAGTTTATACTATTATTATTACAATCATAACTAAGCACTAAACCCACAAGGGTCATGCTACGTACACTATATATGATGACTGTACAATATGTACTTGTACTTAAATAAACTTAGGGTAGTGTAATAGCAATGCTCAATTGTCTTGTATTCATTGTAACTCATCTAATGATCATACATATTATTACCTTATTAATCTTAAGTTTGCCTGAAATACTCTACATATAAAGGGGATTTCCGCATGTACACCCAACTATTATATTCATATGTACAAATATGATTATTATTATAAATTACACATTTATAATAAGTTTAAAGCACTATATTATTAATACGACAATCAGAAGTAAGCGCTAAACCCAGAAGGGTGCTCAAGTCCTGCTGAGAGTAGTATAACAGTGAGCTGACCAGTGTTGTCACACTCTCTCACTAACAAGTAAACAAATATATCTTATCTACATAATTCTTACATTATTACCAAATATTAATTTCATAAATTATGAATTTTTATTATTAGTATAATCAAGAGGGAGAGGTAAACCCGTAGGATTATGCAGCGCCTGCGGGGGGAATGTGGAAGGTATTTAGGCTTAATTCAAGGAACCGGAGCACAGATCAAATTCCCTAGATCAAGAGCCCCTCACCAACATCAAGGAACCTTCCTTGATGGGAATATATTATGAAAAATAACGAAAGATAATATCGAAACCAGTTCTAGGATTTTACAGATTTTTTCAACATATGTAAGTTTATTCAGGTATACACATATACACTTACATAGATTTATCATACATAGCAGCATATGTGTAGATAACCTGGGATAACCCGAAAAAGTCAAAGTGACTTATTTCCATTAGGTGTACTCACCTAATTGTGGATGCTGGGGTCGATTCACAGCTTCTAGCTCTGCTTCTTCACTGTTTTAATTCAAATTCAAAGTTTATTCTCTATAAGGATTACACTCAAGGAAGGTTCCTTGATGTTGGTGAGGGGCTCTTGATTTAGGGAATTGGATCTGTGCTCCAGTTCCCCGAATTAAGCCTGAATGCCTTCCACATCCCCCCCCCAGGCGCTGTATAATCCTCCGGGTTTAGCGCTTCCCCCTTGATTATAATAATAATAATATAAGGATTACAATGCTGAGTTTACAGAATTTGGTTATTGTGTGGTTTACATGTAGTAAAATAATAATTACAGAGTGTACCACTAGAACACCTAGCATGGCTAGGCATTTCGGGCAGACTTAAATTAAATCTTAAGTTTAAAATATTACAAAATTATGTGGTAAGTTGGTATTATGGCTAAGTAACTAAATACTAGTTGTGAGTTTAGCAATGTGAATGCTTTTGTTTTGGCACAGTACATAGTTTCAGTAATGGAGTAAAACAGGCCAACTTATGACTAGTTAAGATTCATTATTTTGAGATTGAGATTGATATTTCTGTTTATGGTCAAATGGGTGAGTGAGTGTAAGTGTGAACCACCAGGTGGTATTCGTATTATTAGTTGACAGGGTGTATCAGGGAGATAAGATGTTTTCTGATGGTAGTTTTGAAGGTGATGAATGTGTCTGCAGTTCTAGAGTTCTCAGGTAGGGTGTTCCAGATTTTAGGGCCTTTGACATACATTGAATTTTTGTAAAGGTTTAGTCGGACACGGGGAATGTCGTAGAGATGTTTGTGTTTGGTGTTATGCCTGTGAGTTCTGTCACAACTATCAAGAAAGCGTTTTAGGTCAAGGTTAATATTGGAATTTAAGGTCCTGTAGATGTAGATTGCACAGTAGTAAGTGTGGATGTACTGAACAGGGAGTAAGTTTAGATCTATGAAGAGTGGGGGGGGGGGTGTTGCCAGGGATGGGATTTAGTGACTATTCTTACTGCGGTTTTTTGTTGGGTTATTATTGGCTTTAGGTGTGTTGCTGCAGTTGAACCCCAAGCACAGATAGCATAGGTGAGGTATGGATATATAAGTGAATGGTATAGTGTGAGAAGGGCAGAAGGGCCTATCCGATGTTATCCTGACGCCAAATGACTTCGAACAGGCGATAAATGACATGCCCATGCACTCTGCCCCAGGGCCAGACTCATGGAACTCCGTGTTCATCAAGAACTGCAAGAAGCCCCTAGCACGAGCCTTTTCCATCCTATGGAGAGGGAGCATGGACACGGGGGTCGTCCCACAGTTACTAAAAACAACAGACATAGCCCCACTCCACAAAGGGGGCAGTAAACCAACAGCAAAGAACTACAGACCGATAGCACTAACATCCCATATCATAAAAATCTTTGAAAGGGTCCTAAGAAGCAGATCACCACCCATCTAGAAACCCATCAGTTACACAACCCAGGGCAACATGGGTTTAGAACAGGTCGCTCCTGTCTGTCTCAACTATTGGATCACTACGACAAGGTCCTAAATGCACTAGAAGACAAAAAGAATGCAGATGTAATATATACAGACTTCGCAAAAGCCTTCGACAAGTGTGACCATGGCGTAATAGCGCACAAAATGCGTGCTAAAGGAATAACAGGAAAAGTCGGTCGATGGATCTATAATTTCCTCACTAACAGAACACAGAGAGTAGTCGTCAACAGAGTAAAGTTCGAGGCAGCTACGGTGAAAAGTTCTGTTCCACAAGGCACAGTACTCGCTCCCATCTTGTTCCTCATCCTCATATCCGAATAGACAAGGATGTCAGCCACAGCACCGTGTCTTCCTTTGCAGATGACACCCGAATCTGCATGACAGTGTCTTCCATTGCAGACACTGCAAGGCTCCAGGCGGACATCAACCAAATCTTTCAGTGGGCTGCAGAAAACAATATGAAGTTCAACGATGAGAAATTTTAATTACTCAGATATGGTAAACACTAGGAAATTAAATCTTCATCAGAGTACAAAACAAATTCTGGCCACAAAATAGAGCGAAACACCAACGTCAAAGACCTGGGAGTGATCATGTCGGAGGATCTCACCTTCAAGGACCATAACATTGTATCAATCGCATCTGCTAGAAAAATGACAGGATGGATAATGAGAACCTTCAAAACTAGGGAGGCCAAGCCCATGATGACACTCTTCAGGTCACTTGTTCAATCTAGGCTGAAATATTGCTGCACACTAACAGCACCTTTCAAGGCAGGCGAAATTGCTGACCTAGAAAATGTACAGAGAACCTTCACGGCGTGCATAACGGAGATAAAACACCTCAATTACTGGGAGCGCTTGAGGTTCCTAAACCTGTATTCCCTGGAACGCAGGAGGGAGAGATACATGATTATATACACCTGGAAAATCCTAGAGGGACTAGTACCGAACTTGCACACGAAAATCACTCACTACGAAAGCAAAAGACTTGGCAGACGATGCAACATCCCCCCAATGAAAAGCAGGGGTGTCAATAGCACGTTAAGAGACCATACAATAAGTGTCAGGGGCCCGAGACTGTTCAACTGCCTCCCAGCATACATAAGGGGGATTACCAACAGACCCCTGGCAGTCTTCAAGCTGGCACTGGAAAAGCACCTAAAGTCGGTTCCTGACCAGCCGGGCTGTGGCTCGTACGTTGGTTTGCGTGCAGCCAGCAGCAACAGCCTGGTTGATCAGGCTCTGATCCACCAGGAGGCCTGGTCACAGACCGGGCCGCGGGGGCGTTGACCCCCGGAACTCTCTCCAGGTAAACACATGTTTCCTTCATGTCAGTTATTCCCTGATCCATTGTTGTGCTTTCCTTGGTATTCCAGCCTGGTCCTTTAGCTTTTGTACAAGTCTCTTGTGAGATGCTGTGTCTAAAGCCTTCTTACAGCAAAAGAAAATTCAGTCTACCCATCTACTAGGTGCTCCCACCCTCGCCAGTACCACAATGTCAGCCATTAGGTGCTCCCACCCTCGCCAGTACCACAGTGTCAGCCACTAGGTGCTCCCACCCTCGCCAGTACCACAATGTCAGCCATAAGGTGCTCCTACCCTCGCCAGTACCACAGTGTCAGCCACTAGGTGCTCCCACCCTCGCCAGTACCAGTGTCAGCTACTAGGTGCTCCCACCCTCGCCAGTACCAGTGTCAGCCACTAGGTGCTACCACCCTCGCCAGTATCACAGTGTCAGCCACTAGATACTACCACCCTCGCCAGTACCAGTGTCAGCCACTAGGTGCTCCCACCCTAGCCAGTACTAGTGTCAGTCACTAGGTGCTACCACCCTCGCCAGTATCACAGTGTCAGTCACTAGGTGCTACCACCCTCGCCAGTATCACAGTGTCAGCCACTAGGTGCTACCACCCTCGCCAGTACCAGTGTCAGTCACTAGGTGCTACCACCCTCGCCAGTATCACAGTGTCAGTCACTAGGTGCTACTACCCTCGCCAGTATCACAGTGTCAGCCACTAGGTGCTACCACCCTCGCCAGTACCAGTGTCAGCCACTAGGTGCTACCACCCTCGCCAGTATCATAGTGTCAGCCACTAGGTGCTACCACCTTCGCCAGTACTAGTGTCAGTCACTAGGTGCTACCACCCTCGCCAGTACCCGTGTCAGCCACTAGGTGCTACCACCCTCGCCAGTATCACAGTGTCAGCCACTAGGTACTACCACCCTCGCCAGTGCCAGTGTCAGCCACTAGGTGCTACCACCCTCGCCAGTACCACAGTGTCAGTCACTAGGTGCTACCACCCTCGCCAGTACCACTGTCAGTCACTAGGTGCTACCACCCTCGCCAGTACTAGTGTCAGCCACTAGGTGCTACCACCCTCGCCAGTATCACAGTGTCAGTCACTAGGTGCTACCACCCTCGCCAGTACCAGTGTCAGTTACTAGGTGCAACCACCTCGCCAGTATCACAGTGTCAGCCACTAGGTGCTGCCACCCTCGCCAGTACCTGTGTCAGTCACTAGGTGCTACCACCCTCGCCAGTATCACAGTGTCAGCCACTAGGTGCTACCACCCTCACCAGTACCAGTGTCAGTCACTAGGTGCTACCACCCTCGCCAGTATCATCGTGTCAGCCACTAGGTGCTACCACCCTCGCCAGTATCACAGTGTCAGCCACTAGGTGCTACCACCCTCGCCAGTACCAGTGTCAGTCACTAGGTGCTACCACCCTCGCCAGTACCAGTGTCAGTCACTAGGTGCTACCACCCTCGCCAGTATCACAGTATCAGCCACTAGGTGCTACCACCCTCGCCAGTATCACAGTGTCAGTCACTAGGTGCTACCTCCCTCGCCAGTACCAGTGTCAGCCACTAGGTGCTACCACCCTCGCCAGTATCACAGTATCAGTCACTAGGTGCTACCACCCTCGCCAGTATCACAGTGTCAGCCACTAGGTGCTACCACCCTCGCCAGTATCACAGTGTCAGCCACTAGGTACTACCACCCTCGCCAGTACCAGTGTCAGCCACTAGGTGCTCCAACCCTAGCCAGTACTAGTGTCAGTCACTAGGTGCTAC